CCCTCCTGGAGCATTTTCACCTAAATTCCTTTTTTTTAGGGGGGGAGAGAAAAAAAAAAAAAAAAAAAAAAAATGGATTTTGAAGTAATTGATCTCTTGCATCTAAACTCAGATGTAGACATCTGAAGGATGTGAACTCAGTTTGTGAAAAATGAGTTTTTGTGTAATGGAACCTAAATTTTCATCATTCCTGAACCAGTCAGAATGGTCTCCATCCTAAATATTGGAAAGTATCTGAACAGTAAGGATCTGCATTCTGGCTTGTACCACCAGCCACAATACGTGCTGCTAATTGTCTAGTTTAATTAGTAAGTGATGTGAGAGAAAGCTGAGGGGAGGAATTCAAGCATGGAAATTGAAGATGAAAGTATTTCTGGGGAGTGATTAGGCAGTATTAAAGCACAGATTAGGAAACTGCCAGTCTTCATTAGTCTCAGTGCTCACAGTACAACTTACTTTGTCTATTTTGAACAGATAAAACTTTTGGCTTTGTAAATTTGTCTTCAGGAAAGCACATAGGTGCTGCTACTAGTATATCAGGGACTGCTAACAGATTTCTGTCTCATCCTTCATATACTGTGTTTGACTTTGCCAGCAGTTTATCGTTCTTCAGTCAACAGAGGAACCTTATTTGGGGTTTCCTTTTGCTACCCAAGGTTTCACTTTTTTGCTCTCACACCTCTTTTCACAAGGCACAACTCCTCTTACCACAGAACTGTCTTCACTGGCTGTACCATCCAGTTCAGTACAGTTTAGTTCTCCGCTCCTTTTTTAGATTTTTCTCACAAGTTTCTTTAAGAAATATTCTCTGCTGTAACTGTGAGACTGTGAAGAAAGGATTCTGTAACAGTTAGCTCCTAGTCCCAAAAATAAAGGATGCCCCCGTATCTTTGAATTAAGGAAGAGCCAGTCTCCATTCATAGAGTCAAGTATTAAGATAATTGCTAACCACCATAATCCTCCTTTGCAGCCAGGGATCTGGTTTGCACCTCTGACATTTGGGAATAAATTTTCACATTTGCTTGCATCTTATCACATGGCAAATGTAATTCATAGTGAATGAGGGCCATTACTGAAGATGATTCTACTGTGTCCTAGCTAGAGATCAGTTTAAAAAAGGAAAAAGTGTTTCTTCCTAACAGTTTAGCAGAGGACAGCTGCATAATCTTGACCCAGGGAACAGTAAAGATGCAAAAATCAAACTTTATTCTAGCACAAATAATGGAATTTATAAGACCATGTCAGAGTTTGGCCAAATTAGACTTCCTCCGAGAATTACTGATCTGAGTGGACATTGGTATCTCTCAATGTGACAGTCTGATGAGGGAGATAAGAACTTACCTGTCTATTCTGAGCCATGTTGTCTCCTGCATCTGCGTATTGTTGCATGACAGGTGTGCCTCAGATATGTGCAAGGGAGTGACTGTGGTCTCCTCCAGATAAGCAGTAAAATATTGATACCTAGATAACCACTGTATATGATTATCTAGATAGTAGATAATCATTGATCTGTTAGCAGGTCCCCTCTCACTTTCTCTCATCTTTCCGGAAAGTGGCTACTGCTCTGTTCCTTCTGATTAGTCCCTGAGCTACCACATGCACATTCATGCACTTCTTTGAGGTTCAAGATCTCTAGAAGAGCCACACTGAGAATGCTAACTATATCTAGTCAAGATTGCTGTTATGTCAGGCAAAGCTGCTCTTTCTCTCAAAGACCTGAAATCAGTCTTCAAAGGAACAGGCTGCTGTCAAAGTGCTGCCCACAGCTAAGTGTGCAAGCACCGGAAGAAAGAAATTAGAGTGAACAAGTACCAGGACAAGAAAGAAGTTATGGGACAGAGCAACGTCTTTGAGATGTATTTTTGGCGACTCTGTCCTTCCTTTTAGTAGTTTGCATTATGGAATTCTGTTCTGGAAGAGAAACTTCAAGACTTGTGTATTGATCTTTCATGCTCTTGTGGGAAGTGTGTATGTAGTGTGTGGCTGCTGATAAAGCAAAAATTTCTGGCACTTGAGTTTTAAAAAATGTCAGGTGCTCTGTGTGATTCTTTGATGCCATTGACACTTTGAAATAATTTAGATTATGAATTAGCCTTTTCAGTCTGGATTATATAGCCTGAATTTTTTACAACGTATCCATAACAGCGTTGGGGGAACAGTTAGTTGAAGCATAGTTATCTTAATTCATTTCCCCACCACTGTTCCTGTAGTTTATTTCTGATTGTTTCTGAAGATGTAATTGACTAAATGAGAGCAAGTTCTGATTAAAGTCATTACTTCCTTTGTGGGTTTTTTGTTTGTTTGGGGTGTGTTTTTTTTGTTTTGTTTTGGGTTTTTTTTGTTCTGACAAGTGAATGTAGTTGAAACTTCACAGATTAAAAATATATCTAAACTGTGCATGCTTTATTGCATGCAGAGGCTATCATCCACAAGAAGCTGCTGTAGTTGACTCTCCTGTGTCCTTTTTTTTTTTTTTTTTTTTTTTTTTTTTTGTATTTTAACTGCTGATAGTTATTTTTCTTATGTTGGCATAAAGGCAGGCTAATGTAGGGCATATACTTTCCAGAGCTCTCTAGCTTAACCTTGAATTACTTTTTCATGTGTATTAAACTTATGTAAGAGATTTTGATATTGATTTACAAATCTAAGAATGAACTTGAAAAAAACCCCACTGTAATGCAAAACCTGTATTACAGGATTCTTATTTTTATGCTTTCTCTAGGAAATAATTTAATTTACAAAATACAATTTTATATCTTCTTTCTGCTTTCATAGTAGATGCCATGCTGTTGGAATTACTAAGGATGAGAACAAATTATAGCATTGATTTACTGAAGTATTATTTTCTTGGTTGTATTTCCCAGAGCTTAAGCTTAGTTTAACATCGAAGCTCTTTTAACTTCAAGACAAATGAAAATAATGGGCAGGTTTTATGTAATATTGCTTCTAATACCTATAGTGTAAGAGAACAAGAGGTATGGATGTAATTTTATTTAGATTTCTTTCCCCACCCTCACTGTATGTTTTATTCATCATGAGTAAAGCTCTAATTCTGTGCTGTAGGACAGCTGTATCTTAATCATAAATTAAAACCATTATACAAGTCCCATTTTAGTTGGTTGTTCAATTTTGCCTGTATGACTGCATCTTTAGGTTTTTTTCCTAAAAGTGTATATTGTTTGATTTTAGACTCTCAAGGATACATAAAGAGGAAAGAGAAGAATCTGTATGTCAGCCTACCAGCATGTCAGAGCACGAGGCAATGAAGTTAAAAAGGAGCATAATAAAACCGGCATCCCTCATGTCAAAGAATGAGATTTTGAAAAAGACACTTCCTGCAACTTCTGCTTACAAAGATGTTCAGTCTGGTTTTGGCACACCAGCTTCATCTTCTGTACATGGTAAAGTACCTAAAATGACAGAAAGTGGGGTAATAGAAGACATTACTTTCTTCCCTCGTCGTTGTAACAATTATTTTTGAAACAGTCGTACATATACAGTGTCTTCCAGTGCATTTCTGACAGAGTACTGTAAGTCACAAGCATTCCAGTTCTAACTTCAAGCATGGTCTGATAGCTCATTTTCTGTTTTTCTGCCAAAAATAACAGACTTACCGGGCTTCTAATATTTTCTGATGTTTCTAATATTTTCTGATATTTCTGATGTTTCTAATATTTTCAATGTTACAGTGGGCAGCCCTACATGAACATACACCCTGTCCTTCTCTCTAAAGCCCTTGCTTGGGAGGGAATGCTCTTCTTTCTCTGGGCATTGCAGGGGATGCAACAAGCACTTTCTTTGTAGGTGGTGAATACATAAAGAGATTCCTGCAAAGCTTCACATCTTTTAAAAAACAAAAAGGGAAAATGAAATAGTGTAGATGTAACACTGACTTTAACTCAGTATACCAACTGCAAAGTGCATGAGAGTGCATTTATTCTGGTTTTCAAAAAGTTACAGTTACAACTACTTCTTTTCTGTGTAGATTTACCTGTTCAAAGTTTCTTTCAATAGGAAGGCTGTGTAATGGGTCTTGAATATGTTTTTTCCAGCAGATGTTAATGAAAACTAAATATATGATTGTCTTTCCTATTGTTCTCCAGTCAGCTTGAGGGTTTTTTTGAAGTGTGAAGTGAGATCATCTCTCTAAAGTACAGAATCATAATTCACTGAGGTTGTATGTATGGGGAGATACATACAACTTCCCACATCACAAAGACTTGGTGGCCTTATGATCACAATTCTTGCTCTTTGAAAGTCATTGCAGGTTTCAAACTGACATCAACATGTCAAAATTCAAGCAAGTCTGCAAGCTGAAGCTCATTTACATCAATAATATTTAGACTAGACTTTGAATGAAACTTACAGAAGACATTTTTGAATCATTTGTGCCCTTGAAGTCTTCAGCACATTAAAAATGAAAATTAAGAAACTGTGCCTTGTTAAACAAGGCATTGAAGTGTAGGGTTGTACTGAGTCTGCTTGGGATCAAGTTAACTTTCTTTGAAGTAGTCCATATGCAGCTGTGCTTTATATGTTGTGGCTAGAACAGCGATGATAAGGCATCAATGTTTTGGCTATTGCTGAGCAGGCTGCTTTCCTAGGATCCAGGCTTTCTCTCTTTCAGAATGGATGATAAGGTTTTCCAGTAATAAACAGAATCAAACAAACAGAAAAAGTCAACGTTATCCCCTTTACCTCATGGGATAGACAGGAAACAAATATTACGTTTCTTATCCAAACATACTGAAGTAACTGATGTCAACTGATGATCTGAATGCAAGTTTTAATGTATTGCTAACAAAAAGAAACATCACCTCTCTGTGTGTACGTCTATATACAAATATTAAAACCATCAGAATGCATTTGTGGAAGTAGACGTTGCAGAAATGTAAACTTGTAGGAATGTTAAAATTAGAAAATAATTGTGCATAACGATCTGCTTTAAATGACTAATATTTTCCTTTTCAATGTGTCGGTTGCAGATAATATTCAAAAGACTGAAATGCAAACAGCTGTTTTGGAACCAAGTCGCCATGAGAAAACTTGTGAGCAACTAAAAGTTCAAAGATCTTCCAAAAAACTTTCAAGAAACAAAGTTCGGTCTTATGATAGAACAGGTACGTAAATTGTAGCATTGGAAGTAATGGAGAATATACTCAACTGCTACTGTCTTTCCTCATCCTCTCCTGCCTTTAGAGTAAGAGTACACGTGTAGGGAAGAGCTGATACAGTTGTAAATGAGAGAGCGCTGTCATTTTAAACTTTATTTCAAAGAGGAACAACTTTACCCTCTGTATTCACCTTCTAATGTTTTTTTTTTTATACCCGATCTCAGAGCAGAATTTCAGACAGCATTCAAACTTTTAATGTTGTTTATATTTTAGAGTCAGCAAGTTTTCTTTTAATCATAAGACTTGTAAAGAGTAGTCATGTTTTCCCACTTCCAGGATTAGTGTTGGGAAAAATAGATTTTGGTCATTATTTCTCCATTAAAAATACCTACCGCTGAGTCTAAAAATGTGGAAAGAGTGATACCACAACTGGATTTCTTTTTTTTTTTTTTCTTTTATGCAAAATTTTTGTCTATGTACATTTTAATATGGATGAAAAAACATAGGAAAAAATATTTTTTATGCTTTTCAGGACTTTGCAAATTGTTTTCCATAATGTTGCAAGGTCTTTTGTTCAGCTAGAGTGTTCTCCTATGCAGGACTAGATTGATCTGATTAGTGGAGTACTATGTTTCCATGTAAAAATTAATTTCTTTTTAATATTAGAAAGAAATGTATTATTGTTATTCTTTTATTTTCACCATTCTTCTTGCTGAGATTTTGCTCTTCAAGTGCCCTTCCTTATTCTTCCAGGCTTTTTAGCATTTGAGAAGGTCTTTGGGCAGTAAGTCATGTTTTTTCTACTGAGTACTTTGAATTTTGCTGTGTAAATTACACAAAATCACTGTAAAATCACTGGAAATTGAAATTACTTTGAACTCAATTGAACCACTGTCCCACAACTGCAGTAAAACAAATTTGGAATATCTGATGGCTTGGGGTTTTTTTTTGAGGAAGATTTTCTGACACATATTTTTAATGTCTTACGACTCAGTCTGAATAACATTAGACTAATCCTCCACACCTGTTAAGGCTTATGCAATGAAACTAAAGAATGAATGGCTGTTGTGTAGTAAATTTAAAGCTTTTATGTTTAAGGGGAAAAAACAACCCAAAACACTTTTTTTTCTTTTCTTGATGTACCAGAACCAATTGATGATGATGTTATAGTACATATTTTGAGGCTTCGAGGCAAACTTGGATGGCAAACAGAGCTACCATCATGTGAACGGTTAGCTAGAGAGGCTGATGTGGCCAGATTTCAGAAGTTCACACTTACGGTGAATTTTACTTTCCCTTCTCCACATCCTGTGCAATTACACATTCTAGAAATGATGTTGGTTATAAATCTAAAATACTTATTTCCCAAAAGTTTTTACCTCTAAAAATGGGTAGATCTGTTTTTAGAATCAAGAAAATGTTTAATGTTTAAAGAGAATAAACTCTTAGAATTCTAATTAGCAGGCTTGAATTACACTTTGCAATGGTCAGAGCCATAGTAGTGTTCTGTGAGGAGATCGTACCTAGGATTATTCTGGGAGGAGAGTAGTGGTACCTAGAATTATTTTTTCCATCTCTTCGTGCATAGCAATCACTTAAACTCAGTACTTAGCTAGTGTTCCCCATAGTTGAGCTGTTCTAGCACCAAGCTGAATGGTGATGATGTCCGTCCTGATCAGACATGCCAAGCATGAGGCCAGTATTTGTTGTGAGTGGTACTGGGCAGTGTGCTCTTAATGTAGCCAGATTGGATGCTGCCTGTATTCTTGTACTAGTTTGGTGCATTCAATGACAGACAGACACATATCTGGTTTAATTATAAGTTTGCATACATACTTTTTAATGAAGAAAAACAAAAAAAGTCAATACAGCAAAAGTAATCAGTTTGGGTTTTTTTCAATGTGCAATGTGAAACATTTTGAATGCACAATAAAAATAAAACCTATCTTATATTTTGTCCCTTGGGAGTTTTGATTTCAGATCTGGCTGCAAAATTTTTAAGAAGCATTACAACTGTCCACAAAACTAAAAATCCTTCCAGCTATAATGACATATTTTCAAAACAACTAGGTATCACTGGTATTTACAATCTTTAACTGTATAGGTGTTTGCTATGAAAGAGCTTTTCTTTCTTTTTTTTTTTTTTTTAATCTTAGCAGTGTTTACCACTTTTTATAGATGGAGAAACTTAACTACTAAAAAGTTTGTTCAGATTTGAATAAAAAAGTTAAAACATTAATAGGGTTATATGAAACTGTTTTCTCAACAAGAAATAGTAATATTTAACTAGCTGTTGCTGGAACTGAAAATTAATTATTTTGAGCAGAAATAATAGAAAAATGTGATTATAGTAGAATAACTTTCTAGTCCATTCAGTGTTGCTACTAAGTACCTTATCAGAACTTTTGGGTACTTTTTTACTTTTCTTCTCATAGTAAAATATATAGATATATCATTTGTAATGATGAAAAATAAATTACATATATACATGTAAATAATTTCCTCTTTTGACAGAAGCCTTTACCTCTCAAAGATAGTGGGGAATACATATATTGTCTTGCACGAAACAGGAACAACTTTAAAGTTCCCTACAACCCATACGATTTAGAGGTTGTCTCTACAAATACAGCTATGCAGAACAACGAATATTGGACCATTACAGCTTCGTTTGTGTCTAAGGTAGTATGTTGTGCAACACACAGAATAACGTGAACCCAGAGCTTTCCACAGAAAGAACATTTTGGTTTTCAATTATTGTCACGTATTCCCATTGCAATTACGTTGCTGTCTTTGTTTAAGAGCTTACTGGTCCCTCCTAAAGGCAAGTCACCTGTTGGCTTTGAGCTGAACATAGTTCATCCTTTTGCTCAGGCACGTGTTTAGATCTTGAACTGTGGTATAGCTCAAGACTAGGTGTATCAGAAGATGGGTAACTTAAAACTTAGCATCCAGTAACCCACCAACCATCATTTCTAGGTGTAGTAATGCAGACCATCCTGTGAGTTCCCATCTCAGACAAGGGCATACCCTCTGCTGATAGTTGTGCGTGGCAGTTGGTAACGTTCACGCCTTAATTTGCTTTTTCTATTCTTTTACTCTTTGCATTGTAAATGGGTAAGCCCTTAGCGACTTATTAGTCTTGTTTAGTCGTGACAGCATTTTCTTTTTAAAAAATAAAAGACCAAAGTTTATTCTCTGTCTCAGAATGACATCTCACAACGGGTTTAAGCCCATGTAAGGCTGCTGAGAGACTGGCTTTAAGCCACCGTCTCCATTGCATTGGCACTGGTGATTTCATGGCCAGTATGTTGGATCATCTCACTAATTTAGCATAAAATGAATGAAAATACCTTATAGGTTTATTTATCTTGTTAGGTGAATTTTCAGTCACGTTAGAGAGCTAACCCATCTCACCAGGAGCACAGAGTACTGTGTACAGATAGTCCTGAAAGAAGCACTAAAAATCATACCTTTTAAGAATATGAGCACCACATTTCTTGATGTTTCATCAGTTCTTAAATGTCTTTGAACACAACTCAACTTTGAAACCCTTTTTCTCTTCAGCATCAGTAAATTTTAGAACTAGTATGACACTAAACTTGCATGGAAGAAGTGATAATTGCGTAATTTACATAATTGGATTGTTGCTGGATGCTAAAGTTAAACTTTTTTGTTGTATGTATGAGATACATGATTTGAATGTCAGAAAATTACAGACATGGCTTAGAAACTGATGCAATTACTGTTGTTAAAATGAGGAAAATGTATTTTCTATCAGTGGAGTTACTAAGCTTTTATAAAATCAAATTGGAATAAAAGAACCTGACAGTAGAAAAGGCTGTGACTTTGTTCCTTTGCCTTCAGAATGCTTGGTGTAGCACAGAAATTTGAAGTACAATCTTGATTTAAATACAAAGTGATTTGTTCCAAAACATCTGTAATAAAAGATCTACTACTTGCTTTAGCTAAACCACAGAATGATTCACTCAAAACAATTAATTAATGCCTAGCAGCTGATCTTCTATCTCTTATACTCCTATGAAAGATACTGAAGATTTCTACTAAAGTACATATGCCCACTGCCGCTTTACTGTATCCTTGCCAGTCAGATTCCAGTCCATGATTTGAAAGGGAATTATGCTAATTAATAATTCGTACTTTTTATATAATTTCACACAGGTTTGAACATTCTCTTTGGAGAATGAAAATCTATTTGCTTACCCTGTTGTTGATTTGGTTCGAAGATGCTCTTTGTCTACTTGAAAGATATGGCAGAGGTTCAAGAAAAGGCTTTTTGGAGTTTGCTGCCAGAATGTGTTATGGTGACCACCCTCTGGGTGGGTGTATCTGCTCACATTATATTGAAAATCTTTCTACAGGTCTAGGTCTCTTTTCTTCTTATTCAGTGTTGTATCACATAGTGATGAGAAGAAATTGATATTCCATAGTTTTACTTGATAACAATAAATAAGTACATTCAAATTTTTCCTTCTTACATACTTTCTGTGAGATAAACATTTTTGTACAAGAAAGGTATTCAGTAAGCCTAAATAAGTAGATTTTTAAATGTACTGAGGGGCTTTCCTAACGAGGGACAAACACAGACTGAATACTTCCCTGAATAGTGTATATGTGCCATAATTTTGAATGACAGAAGCATCCTAATATTTGAAATGACAAAAACGTGTAACTGTGAGCTTGTTCAAAATTAAACAAAAACTGCATAGGTAAACATGATAAAACATGATCAGTGTTGCCACTGCTGAGGTCATCGGTATTTATGCTTTTTTGTCTTTGATAATGAAGATTCAGTAACGCTTGTCAAATTCTTTTTCAAAAGGAGTTGTATATTTTTTCTTAATATTTTCCCTAGTTCTCTGCAGTCCATGGAGAAATAGAAATAACACCAGTGCCACAATGGCTGCATGAAAGACACCTGTATTCGAGGTTACTTAATCTGAATTTATTTTCCAATTTCCGGTAAGGAAATGAAAAAAAAAAATAATTGACATTAACCAATTGCAGTAATAATTTTTGATATCTTTGTGTGATAAAATGCCAACTTAATACTGTGTTAATTCCTGCATAGGCATTTTTAAGAATGACAACATCTAAAGACTACTCAAGATCTTTTTGGTTCTTATGTCTAAATCATTAATGGAACCAAAACATCTTGTTTATGTTTCATCTTTGATTATTTTTTGTTTCATCTTGTTTATTTATTTGGCCTTAGAAGAAATAAGAATATCTCTAGTAATATCTTCCTATGCACTAATTTTTAGGAGGCAAGTTAATTCATCCATTTGTTCTCTTCCACATTACATAAACTGTATGAAACAGCTAATAATATTCACCTTATATAGAATGCATTCAAGCAAGTTATGTGTAAAATAGAAGAAAATATTTAGTGGCTGGCTGTTTTAGAAACATCAGTAAAAATATTATAGCTGAATTTTAACCTCTTGCTTAGACTAATATTAAACATCCACCTCCTACACATTTGTCTCTATATTTTCCTTTTATTACTTTTTTAGGGGGAGATACTTGTTTCTGGTTTATTTTTTTAATTTCATGTGAAGAATATTGCTGGAAGTGATTCAGTTTTGGGACTCGACCATGTGTCTCATGTTGGATTTGTGCATCAAAGTTTTTTTGTGCCTGCACCAGTCCTCACCACAATGATGGCATCACAAATTTCACACATTTTCAAAAATGCATTTTATGTTTGCCAGTGCCACATTCCACATATAAACATTAACCACAGTAATCATGATTTTACTTTATCGCTCCACAAAATTCTGATAATGTTTGTTGTTACTGAATATGTGTGTATATATGTCAATCAGAGAATTAAAGATTGCTGTGATGGGAATGTTTAGAGGACAAATAAGCCAATTTTAAACTTTTAAACAAAATTTTACTCAACTGACATTCTTTAACTATTCACTTTATTCTAATGCTTAGTTCATATCCTTTATCAGTCATTATGACTCCATAGTCAGTTAATCCCTCACAGTCTCTACCTGTGAGCATGCAGTACCACAGTGCTGATGTGGTGTGTTTAGCCCATTCTTGATTGCCTTACTCACTGAGGTTGAGGTGGCAAGACTCAAAACCTGTCTGCCAGGGGAAGCTGAAAGGATAATGAACATGTTGCATCTCTTCTCCCAGCCCAACCGCATTGGGCATCCTACACATTTATACATGTATTGTGTTTATATTGTTTCTAGACAATTGGCCTCTGCCTCTGGGCTGGGTGCTGCAAAAGCTTAATGAACACTTTCCCAGCCGAAAAAGGTTCATTATCCTGTAGCTTTGCTGTTTGGTTGTTTTGGGGTTTGTTTATTTGTTGGTTTCTTTGTTGATTTTCCCTAGCTGGCTGCTGTTTCTTTTCTTAAAGTAAACATAGTATTTGCCCAGCTTTGGAAGTTCTATTTTATCACTGCCCAGTAACTGAGTTACGGGTTTAGGGACCCTTTCTTTTCAACTTGTGGTCATATTTTCGAGGCCTTTACTGTTATCCTGTGCTTAACCTACATCTCAACAAGAAATGTCTGGTGCTAAGGTCCAGTTTACACAGGAAGTTTGGAGAACAAGTTGGTAACAAGCCTAACCGACCAGGACTGGGACTTGGTATGGTTAACATAAGGCACAGTTAGCTTAAAGCTTCTGGTTTATTATTGGCAGTGGCAATACTGTTTTTACTGGACAAAAAAATGCTTATGCAATTATGATACATCAAGGATGCTCACGTTTGGGTTTAAAACAAGCTAATGTTAGTGTTTGCTTAGTGTACTTTTTCTTTTGTGGGTACGACAGGCCTCTGCTTTAGCTATACTTTTCCTACATCTGTCAAGACAGATGAAGAGGTGTGGAGGCAATGTTTGGTAGCAGATTTAGAAAGTGGGAATTGGCTAAATAGATCTGCATCTGTTCCCAATAGCATAAGTGCTGTTAATGACCTGTTGCAACAGTAGGTATGACAGTCAGTAAAATTTACATGCATAAATAACTATTTCTATTGCTTCTAGAATGAAGAAATGCTTTCTAGTATGGAAAATCAATGTGAGAAGAAGCAAGAACAAGACCAAGTCAGTTTGACTATAGGTTTTTCATGGGAAAAGAATTCAAGAATACTTCATCTCCTTCTGTAAACGTTACCAATTTGCATCTTATTTTCCATAAATACTTTCTTCAATAAAGAACATTATTCAAATGCCAGATAACTTGTTGGTAACAGCATGGAAGATTTGCTCTAATAAAACTTTTATGGTGCCTTTATATTGCTGTTAAGGAGCCTGGAATTCTAATGTGAAGAAAGCTGAGCTTTAATTTTATGTTTGTCTAGTGCCAAGCACAGTGGGATTCTGCTTTATGACTAGGGATTTTTGCTATAAATGAGATGAAAATAATAATGAATATAGTTTTATATTGTAAAATGAGAGCGGTTGCACCAAATCCAGGCTGAATATGGGCTGAAAGAAAAGATGGAATTCAGTCTGTATGTTGAGGCAAGTAAATAAAATCCCATCACACTTCATCTCTTCTCATGTAAATAATATTTGTATTGTGTAGGTTTGATTATGAAAAAGACATTGTTAACTCTTCACAAGAAATTTTTTTCTCCCCTTTTATGGAAATGTATCCTACTGTTAAGATTACCAAGTTTTTAATAAGCCATTATGTGAGGAAGAGACTTCTTTCCAGGGTTTATATCAAATGATTAACTTTGTGCTAAGAGCACATGGATTAGATCTTTCACTTGTACCTAGAGGTAAGGAACTAACTGGGAAATGTTGATGGCCTTTTTGTTCCATTAGAACAGTGGAAAAGACATAAACTGTCAGGTAGTCCTTTGTCTGTCTAAATTTAAAATTACTGAAATAGGAAAGGTATTTGAATAAACAGGGTTTTTAACTGCATAAAATCTGAAAACTGTCATTTATGGAGTGTATAATTAAAAATAATATATGATGAGTCAGCTTCTGGAAAAAAAAATCATGTTTTCTCTTTGCTTGGCATTAGTCAGAGACACATTCATTAATTCATACATTAATGTTTAACAGCTACATATCGCTTTCCCTAAAAGCAGATTTTTTGTAGGTGGCAAGTTCATAAAAATTCAGTTGGGGCACTTTAAATGACCTGACTATAGAGTATTTTTAGTATGTTTTGTCAAAATCAGATTTGTCTTTTGAAAGGTTTCTATGCCATGAAATCATATGACCTTAAACTGTAACCCTTTTATAAACTAGAAAGTAGTTCTGATGCTCTCCACACTTCAGCATTTGAATAAATTTGTGGGGAAGTTGTTCCAGTAAACAGAGATGGTGAAAGAGAGCATAGTCCCTATAGAGTCCATAAATTTGTTCTATCTAGTTTGGGGGTTTGGTTTTATTCCTCGGTATTTTGCTGCTCACACAAAGTTTTTGGACCTTCATATAGGTAGGTTAGGGGAGGATACTTTTTCAAAAGGAAATTACAGAAGGACTTCTAATGCTATGTTGACTACACAGCCTGTTTATGCAACTGAATTTTTCTTAAAACGATTTTGATCTCTACGTGTTAAGAAAAGCAATTTAAAAGACATTTTGTTGAATTTGCTCAAATCTTTATATTTCTTATATGTCATGTTGAAGCAAAGCTCTTCAAAGTTTATTCATGCAATAAATAGATTGGATTATGCTATTCCGTGTTTTAAAATCATTACAGAGTACTTGAAACATGGATAGTGAAATGCAAACACATTTGAACAGCACATTGACTGCTTGCCGTATTTCTGTATTCTACACAAAGGTGTGCATGTTGTTTCATACAAATCACAAAAAAACAAAAGAAACCTGTTTTGATTTGGAGACCACATAACGGCTTTGTTATCAGAAATAAGAGGTTGTAATCTTAGCGTACTTATGTATATTTGTTCTGCCCATTACAGTGCTCCTTTTTGGTCTGTATTCCCCCACAGAACTTGAGCCTAAGATTTTGTTATCAGGAGCATCTGATGAAGAGAGACCCTCCCTCTGAATATCCCAGTGCTATCAGCCAAAGGCATAAAACTCAGTGCTGCTTATCAGCACCTTACAAGCCCTCCCTAGTACTTACAGTGACATATTTTAATGGTGTTATTATAAAGGAGTTGTCTCTTAAATAAAGGAATAGCTGGTATCACTTTAGTTGTCCTAAATTCTCAGATTTTTCTTTACTCATGGTTTCAGTCATTTACTCCATTGAACAACTGGTTATGTTAATGAAGATAAAACTGTCTAAGGTTTATATAAAATGTTTTCAAAGACTGGAGAGAGTTTAAAGGAATCTTACATAAAATAAAAAGAAAACAAATTGTAGAAAAGATGAAGCACTTAGCAGCTCTCTGGACTTGCTAGGGTAGAACATAAGTTTATGCCTTACAGAAAAAAATGCTGTATCTAGTTGTTCAAGGATTTGCACAAGTATTAGAAACTGGCCCTTCACTTTTTTTAAAAAAAATAAAAGCTTTAGACAACAAAGGAAATTAGGAATGTCAAAACCAAAGCAACACTGGTCTCCCAGCCTTCTCCCTTCATGCTCTTTAGATTAAAGGTCCATAAATCTTTTATAGCCTGACTGGCAGCTCAGCAAGGACCTCTTCAGCAGCTGATGATAAAAGCTGCCAGGGCATCATGTGGTATCTCAGTGCTCACTCGGCACTGACTGCCATTCTTGCAAATGTGGTGAGAGTGGTTTAAGTCTTGCTAATTCCACTGTTGATTACTGGAGTGCCATTATTCATAGTAACTGCTCCAGTACTTCCCTATGACAGTCCACAGTTTGTCACTGTTCCCCTATAGTACCACAATCAACCACATTCTGCTCGCTCAGAGGACTTAGTAGTGAGCATCAGCATTTTTTTCTTTTTTATGCTATCGGTACTAAGCTCTATTTTGCACATATCTAGAATTATTTGTAGCTTGGTACCCATTGCTGGTATTAATCCTTTTAGGGCATGAGAGAAACTCCCCAGCTTGTAAGAGCTATGTCAGTAATAAAAACTAGATCCTGACCATGTTTCCTTCCTTGCCAACCAAGAGGGACTGATTCAGAAGGAGTATAATTCATAAAAACAAACACAAGAAAGCTGTTTGATAGCAGTTTGCGTACTTGTAAGGCTACTGTAATAATGTCTGCTCTGGAGGCATGGGTTGTGGATAAAACCTTTAACCAATGGATATTACTCTCACTTCTGCTTAAGTTTAAGTAGATCATCAGTTAATGGGAACTTAACCAGACATAGCAAAGTTACTATGATAAACCCTGTCAGGGAAGGCAGCTGGTCTGCCGATAACCCAATTGGAGAAGAGTTTGACTTTGGTAAGATTCCAGTGTACCCTTGAGATAAGGAAGCTTTGCTTAAAGCAAATAACTTTCAAGGAGCTGCTGACTATATAGCTGGATGAAGCAAGCAGGGAGGAAACCGATAAAGGTTATCCAATGAGAATGTTAAAAACAACTTTTTGACCAATTATATTGCAGCACTCTGGCACCTGAAATATATAAAAATGCATGCTTTTGGTAATAATAAAGCTAGCCGCTTGTTCACCCATGTGAGTGTGTGTGTGTCACTTTGTCTCTACAGCGACAAAACCCCTTTCTTCAGAAAGAGAAGCCAGCTGCTTTCAGATTTCAGAAAGATCTTGTCAAATAGAGCAAACTCCTACAAGTAAAAATAAAACCTCAAATAATAAAATTAGTTCTTTAGTAAGAAAAACTGCTAATAAGAAAAAGCAGTACAAAAAAGAAATACCAAATTATTTCCTTCCAGACAAGATATGATTTTATCAATTGGGATTCTTCTAAGTTTTCACTTTAAAATTTCCATAATATTTACAGGTGAAATTAAGATTTGTTATCACAGCAAAGGTTAACTTCTGTTAAAAATAGTACTGTAGGAACCCCTGCATGCAAAAACCAAAATCTTCTGTCATTTCAGTCAATGACGTTGTTCAGGCCTTTCTGACACCATTTTTTCCTGGAATGTCAGCGAGGATGAAAATAGCCAAAGTTCCTCCGTTTTAAAAGAGTGTTGTGTACTTTTAAATAAGTAGAGTTTAAGACCTCCAAGTATTTCTACATAGTCTAAAATAAAAATAACACAAGCTGTAGCTTTACTAGAGGCAGTTCTTTTACACCTCTAACAAGAACCAGATCAAGGAAGAAATGGAAGTTTTTTGCAAGGTTTTTTTTCCTTCTCTATTTACAGCTCCCTTATACCACCAGTGTCCTAACAACTTCAGGGCAGCTAATTTAGTCATTCCAATTGGCAAATGCTATGGGTTTTTCTGTGTCACTTCATTTTTAGGTACAACATTTCAGGAACATCAACAGTTATTAAAAGGACAGTCATTCAGTTGCTCTGCTTCCTCCACTTTCACCTTCCTTCATGGTTCTTAGTTAGGACTTTGTCTCAAGACTAGAGGTCTTGGTTATTTTGAATTTTGAAATTGGGATTTTTGTTTTGGGATGGGGTTTTTTGATGTTGGATGTTAGATATGTGCTATCCCTAGTATACATGACATTCTGGAGAGCTTTTTCTTTACTCATTTCCTCCTACAGTGCAGTATTTAAATTAATTAGAAACCTTTATGTAAACACACTGGTTATGTGATATAGATATGTGCAACCCATGTCAACCACACTTACTTTATGGTGAAAGAACTGAGAAGTGAAGGAAGAAGAACCTGCTTTTTACACTGTTTGCTGAAGGTTCAGGGACATTCACAGTACAACCACTATCCTGAAGGATGCTCCAGACCAAAATGTTAATTTTATATACAGAAGATGCACAAAAATAGAGTAGGAAACTATGTAAGAGAAAAGTTACTTACTGTACAGTAGCTGGAATTCCTTGAGAAAATTCCCCAAGAGGAAAGGCTGAAGTTTTTGCTGTGTGAACCTTCTCCATCTGGTTTGAGTAGCTCTACAGGAACCTCTGCTGTAAATCTTTACTATGAAGGTTGCAATGGAGGGTTGAAAACAGCAGCTAAAACCATGATGAGATTGGAAACTACTTGTAGGAATAGACCTATGCTACCGTAACAACACATGTGTCACAGGATTACGAAGTGCAGTTTAAGTGTCAGTGGTACTTTAACTGTAGAAGAATAATCTCAGAAAGTCTTTATTTAAGCCCCAGAAGTGTGTGCACTGCTATATAAAATGAAGCAATATCTGTCCTGAAAAGTTAACATTATAATAACAAAACATTGAGGGAGAACCTGAGAGGGAAATAATACTGAAATTGTTGATATCATAAACCAAGAATTTTTAGGCAGGCTTTGAAAGAATTTAAAACGATTACACAGAATAACAAGTTGAGTAAGAACGTACAATTTTGTGCCTTTACAGCTGTTTGCCTTTTCGATAATGCTGTTTCTTGGAGGTGTTCTTGGGGTGTGTTTAACTAATTGCTTGAAATTGAGTTGCTTATTCTATTGCATCTTACATATAACTGCATGCTTCAAGAAAAATGCAACTGCAAGTAGAACG